TACGACGGTTACGGTTACGTAACGTACGTTAGTTACGTACGTACGACGTAGACGTACGTACGACGTAGTACGCGGGGGGGGGGGGGGGGCGATAAATGTGCGTGATTTTTCCTATAACAAAGCCACATCAGACTATCTGCTGTGTCCACCGAAGGGAATCAAATCCCTTCTAAATATATGAAATAACAAACATGTTAATGTTAAACATGTTAATTCACAAAAACTAGTGCATAACAGGTGTTCCTTCTTCAGAAGCAATGCTGTGAAAGTTACTTCTTCATAACATGTGCACTGATCAAGTAAATTTTATTCTGTTACTGTTTATCACTACAAACTGGGGTGGAAAATTATATTTCTCATACTGTGAGGAAACATCACTGTAACATATCCATGTCATTCGTAATAAATAATTACTAGTTTAAATGCCCAGATAAATTGTTGAATTTGAGCAAAGTTTCACTCCCAAAAAATACATTATTGAAATAGTCCACTTAAACAAAATCATTAGTACAATAACCTTTCTATTATTAGGTCTCACCATCTAATGAGACAAATGTAAATGAGTTTTGCTATAAATTCTAGCATTACAGTACAGAACTCTTAATGTACTTAAGTTTAATCCAAAAGGTTAAAATCAATTTAAAAAAACTATAATCCAAACACACTTGAAGAGTAGACCTTTCTTCAAGAGAATCAGAAAAAAATCATCATAGCTCCTAATTTTATGTGGAGACTCTCCATTCAGTTTTGAGAATGGAACAACCGAGATGGACCAATAGGTCCCATGTTGTCCCAAAATATGTTATATTAACTCTTAATGATTTTTTCTGTGTAAAACATGAATCTGATGATTGGTTTATGCACTAATCAAGTGGTACAGTTCTGTTCTACAAATATCATGATAAAGTTTGATTACAATCAATGAATTCTATTTTTGGGTTTTTACTCCATCCAACAAATACTATGTAGATGTTTCCACGTTTTCTACTCTGTATCTCACAAAACTGGTGACCTTACCTTCTTTCCCCCTGAATCTTTCCTGATCATATCTGTTATACACAGTAGGCTGTGGGACAGGATGCACTGGAGTAGCCTATCAAATAAAATTTATAATCAACAGAGAGTTATTTTAAATTGTTCATAACAATGCAGCCTATATTGTGTGTGTGTGTGTATACACTATATAATTTCTTTCTCTTATACAACTACATCTAAGAAAGATATGTTCAATCAATTCTGTTTATGATTACATTATGTGCTAGAAAGTTTAAATTTGCTTAAATACAATTTTAAATTCAGTTCACTTTCTTTAAACAGGGTAGGACTGGCAACTGATGCAAGATGGGATCTAGATTTACATTAAATATTTTCCTTTCAGTAAAATTCACAGCAGCTGCTAATTATGTAAGCAACTTCAAAGTGTTCAGCTTGGAACTATGCATGAATATCACTAGCCTGCCATTGTCATTTTTACAATCTTCTCAAAAACTAAATAAACAGGATGCAAATATTTTGTGAGGATAGTTATATATACTGTGTATTTTTACTTGTTGTTAGTAATGTTGCACTATTACCAGCTACTGCTGAAATTTTTCTATATTACTGAGGCACTACTCAAAGGACAGCTAAACTTTCATATTGGTAAAAATGCTGCAACAATTTAGTCTGCTACCACTCATATGCTTTACTTTACATTTTTCACTATTTAAATTTGTAACACAATATACACATCTTTACTGCAACCCATTTCATTCAGTTTTAGATAAATTCAGTTAAACTTATCACCAGTTAGGAACAGCCAGTACAAAATGCAGACATCCTCTTCACTACGACAAATAACATTTTGAGGAACTTAATTTTGCCACAAAATCTTTGTTACTCAAAAGAATACCAAGGAATTTGACCCATGGTTCTAAACAGACTCTTACATCTTATATTAGTTCCCAAAGTAAATTCTAAAATTATTGCACATTATTTGTTAAATTTTCAAATCACAGAAGTGGATTCATTCTAGAAATTGATTTACTACTTTAATTCTCAGAAAAAATACAAAATATAAAGTTTTACAACTGATTCATCAGCATCTTAATGACATAAGTGTTGAATTATTCTACTGATTTGTATCCATCTTCAAATCCTGGAAGTAGACATATTCTAGTAATGTGCATGTGTCTTTAAGTCCCAGAAAAGGTTTTATTTTAATGTTTCACCTGGATTTTCAAGTCATGTACTTAAACTTATTCTAAAGATTCTAAAAATCTAATTCATCCTTTTGAGACACATAATCTCCAATATCAAAAAATCGAGTTATTCTAGTGATCTGCCCCCAGCTTCAATTCCTGTAAATGAGCTTATTCTAACAATTCGTTTGCTTCTTCAATAAGTGAAGAGGACTTATTCTAGTGATTCACTTGTATAATCAGTTTCTAGAAACGGACTTGTTCTAATGTTTTTTTTGTTTGTTTTTGAATTTTGCACAAAGCTACATAAGGGTTAACTGTGTTAGTCATCCCTAATTTAGCATTGAAAGACTAGAGGGAAGGCTGCTAGTCATCGTCACCCACCACCAACTCTTGGGCTACTCTTTTACCAACAAATAGTGGGATTGACCATCATTATAATGCCCCCCCATGGCTGAAAGGTTGAACATGTTTAGTGGGACAGGGTTTCAAACCCACGCCCTAACCACCTGCTCATGCTGGGCTTTATTCTAGTGATTCAAATACACCTTCAAATCCAAAGAGCTAACTAGTCTAGCAATTTACCCACAACCTTTTTAGCCTTCAGCCTCCTAGACACACGTAGCCATGACATTCATAGCAGGCATACTGTAAAATTAATGTTAACAGTTGTTCTCATCTGAAAAACTTAATTTTAATACATTTAGAAAAGGATAAATATGTGTAATTAGGCTAGTACCATTTTATACTTTCCTCTCTTATAAAGCTGACTGTGTTATAGTTACAAGTACATCAAAACATTTATTATTTTAATCAGGATACAAAAATGTTGAAGGTTATGGTCATAAATACATTTATTGTTAAAGGTCATCTATAATATTTTCATTCTATGCTTTCACTAAGTGAGTGTATTATTAGTGGTGAGAAAAAGATCAAATACTCATCATAAGAAAATGTATTTTGTATGGGTGTTGTATCTTCAGTATTAACAATTTTAATTGTAACTTCAACTGTTAATGGAGGTAGGAATCATTAATTTATTTCCATTTAGATTTATATTAAGTAGTGTATGTTTCATTGAAACCAAAAAATTTTCACTTCATGATAATTTCTTTCATCATCTTCACTGTTCTAAAAACAATTTGATTTGACCAATATACAACTCAGAAAATGATGGTTGAAGAAAAAATAAAACTTACCAGTAACAAAATTTGTTCAATTTTTGAAAAAAACTTTACTTTGAAAAGCAATTGAGATGTAATTGAATATATTTTAATAAAATAAGTAAGAAAACAAATTATTATCTTCAAACCAAAACACTCCAGATATTTCATTTTTTCATAAACATACAAGCAATTTATCCTAGATGTAAGGGAATAGAAAATATATTTATATGTTTACTACCTTTTATTTCCATACAGTAATAACAAGACACAATAGTAGATTTAAAATACAAGAGTGAAATGCATTAGCCAGCATTTGAAATGAATCATAGCACATATGATTTTGTTTGTTTTGTTGCAATTTGAGGCCTACTAGTGCTAGCTGTCCCTAATGTTGAAGTGATAGATTAGAGGGAAGGTAACTAATCAACCCCACCCATGACCAGCACTTGGGCTACTCTTTACCAATGAAGAATAAGATTAACCATCACATGGTAATGCCCCCATGCATGAAAGGACAAACATGTTCAATGGCTGGATTCGAACCTGCAACCCACAGGTTAGGAGTCGAATGCCCTAAACACCAGGCCATGCCAGGGCCCATCACATGTAATGATCTCTATTTGCATAATATAGTTAACAACAAAGATATTTTGATAGGAAAGTTAACAATTTCCTATAATGAAAATGTATTTCTGATGATACTTACCTCTTCTCAAACTATAGCTTTATCCTGATGATGAAAGTTTCTCTTCTCTGTCCATCTAAGCATTGGTATGAATCTTACTTTGCTTGCTCCAGCCTTTATACCCCACTATATTGCCCAAAGCAAGTTAAATATTGTGATTCTCTCCCCATTACTTCTTCCTATTAACTTTTTGAGACAGTCCAAATTAGCAGACCCAAACACTGGCCATTTCATGGAGAGGAAGGGCAGGAGAGTGTGATAGGAGGCAAGTATTATCGGAAGTACATTTTCAGTATAGGAAACAGTTAACTTCCAAAACACACTATAGCTAGAATCCCACATTTACAAGGTGGAGGAGCCGATAACAGCAAGATCCACACATAAAACATCTGCACAGAAAAGAGGTATGCACAAATGAGATATAGTAATAGCACATTAGTGGGGTCTGCACTACTTCTGGAACAGGTATGCTCTTCACCCAGACAAGATGAAATCTAATTCGTGGACAGTAAAGGCTGACTGGCCACACAGGCAAAATCCTAACTTTGTTAGAAGAAAACATGAAGGGATGAAATACTGCACCTAACTCATGGGATTCATCTAGACCCCAACAGGGCAGACAAGGTCCCACACCTCCTTATTGGAATTATAGGGCTGTGGACCAAAAGATAGATCAAAGGCATAGTGGCTAGAGCATGAGGACCACTTTGTATTTGTTCTTGTTTTGTAATGTGGTATTATTGGAACCCAACCTGAAATTTACAGAATGTTGCATGTTGAGCCACCAGAATTACAAAGAGAGGGCTAGCAACATAAAAGTTGACAAACCCTCACCCCTACCTGATGAAGCGAAAATTGCAACACACCAAACTCAGAATTACAGAACCTTTCACATCTCATTCAACCTGAAGAAAAAGAGATTACGAACAGAAATCCTAACTCTCCAACCTGAAAGGCAAGGCAACACCTATTGCAGCCAGAATTATGAGAAGGATGTGGAACAAACTAAGTCCAACCAATGGCACAAAAATTGACACTCCACGTGCAGAATTATAAGGAGTCGAGCACCCTCTTCCATGATAATCAAAATAAAGACAATGACCTAAAAGAAGGGCCACGCTCAACTCAACTGGATAGTGAAGAGTCATCTCTGAACTGGAATTACGAGGAGGCTCCTGCATAGGCTGGTGCTGCTCCCCCCCCCCGACTACATCAGGGAAAACCATCCAGGGTTATTGGTAGGAGGGCTTTCAGCTTTGCTCTCTTCCTTGAATGGAATAATGAGTTCAAGCATCACTCAGGATGAATAAACCTCTGTCCACCACTCCAACAACTGGAAACTGGGAGTGGTAAGGACTCCCATGCTCCACTAGGAGAAATGGGAGGATACTCGCATTGAGGAGTTCCCAGGAATGATGCTCCATAGACGGTGCAATAGGTGTACCACAATTCCTATTTTGAAAAGCAAACTAACCCCAATTTATTCAATCCAGAGGTCAGCAGGAATGGGCAAAATCCCCTTAAGTTTTACTGATGATAATCCATGAGTGGCAGTTCAGTAGTGCATTTGTCTTTGTGTTATAATTGTTTACCACCTGTAAAGCACACAAGGTAGTCATATTGAACACCCCATCTCAACACAGAGCTTGTTGCTACAAGGAAAATTTGTATCAGTCGACTGATAGCTTTTGTCGATTTGGAAAGAAGCATACCAGACCAGTCAACACCCACCACTGAGTGGGATCCAAATGAAAAGGACAACAGCGTCCCTGAAAAAGAATACAAATAAACACAGAAAAATAAAGTCTCTCACCTCTCTTACAATCTAGCCGGGACATGGAGAATAGCCACAGGGAGTAGCCAAAAACCTTCAAAGGAGGCAACTACCAAATTATATAAATAATGAGATATAAATGTATTAGGCATGGTCCACATACCAGCCTGTACAATTTCCTCCAGCAGGCAATGTAACCAAGCTGCCAGGGACATTGAGATATGGCAAACTTGAAAAGATGAGAGCCAAAGAGCCTCTACTCTTCCAATGAAAGCACAGAGTAAGCAATACAAACCAATTGATGAACCCAATCTGTCCAAGTGACCAGGTATAAGTCATGTGACAACTTAGGATCCCAATGAAGAAACAAATGGTGATAGGAGCCCCTAAACCCTTTAGTGTGTACAGCATAACATTGGAGAGCCTGAACCGGGCATAAAAAACAATGAAAACTGGAGGGAAGATTAATAAGAGAGAAAGCCTTATCCCCTTCTCAAGCTGCTGAAGTTTGGGGTAGAAAAGACCTATCGGGATACAACAGAACATAAGTGGAATGGTAAAGGGTTCTGTGAACATAAATTATAAACACATTTGAACATTGATGGCTGCTATCCAACAACAGAAGAAAATAAGAAATGCGCCACTCAAGAGGTCAAGCCCTAATCACGTGCAATGAACCGCATAAAATCCAGGCATAAGAGAGATGGCCATAGAGGAAGTGGAAGAGGTTGGCACTCCTGAAGATACTGAAGGAGTGGAAACCAAGGCTGACTCAACCAATGTGGCACCACCAGAGGAACTCGACATGACCAGGAGCAAATCAGTGCAAGAATCTTGGATAGCAGATGAATTAGAGGGAACATGTAAAGATGAAGACCCATCCAATCCTTACTGAGAGCATCTATGCCCAAAGCCCAAGGGTAAGATACAGAAGACCAGAAGGATGAGAGCTGGGAATTCCAGCATGTGGTGAAAGCATCAATCTGAGGAGTCCTGAGACAAGAGTAGATCCAATGAAAAATTTGTGGATGAAGCATCCATTTCATGAGAAGAACTCTGTGGGACAAGATAATTGATTGGCCAATAAATTCATTACGCCTGGAACTTGACAAGCAAGAAGAACAATCTGATGATTGTGGGCCCAAAAGCGAAGATCCGATATATGAAAACAAAGAGACCTGGAATGAGTGCTAGTAGTGTAGGTGATGACAGTGGTCCTGTCACACCACAAAGCTTCTGTACAGCTT